AAGTAGAGGCTCCACTGTATTTAATCTTGTAAATACTGTATACGTGTATATAGCTTATATATTCATAAGTTAAAATACAGCCACTTTCAAGAATTTATTTTCAACAAAGGGATATATGTACCAGGAGGGGGGTTTGGGGGTCAGTGCCCCCATGGCCTGGTCCTTGACTTGGTCTTGTGGTGGATTGGGGTCTGATCAACCAGGCTGTTACTTCTGGCACACGTAAACCAACGTACAAGCCACAGCCAGGCTGGTCAGGTACTGACCATAGGTGCCTGTCCAGTGCCTTTGTGAAGACAACCAGGGGTCTATTGGGACTCCCCTTTATGTATGCTGGGAGGCAGTTGAACAGTCTTGGGGCCCCTGACACTTACTATGTTGTCTCTTAGCATACTCAGGGCACCACTGCTTTTCTGTGGGGGGTGTTGCATCTCCTGCCAAGTCTTTTGCTTTTGTAAAAAAAAAAAATATATATATATATATATATATATATTTCATGTGTGGATTTGGGACTAGTCCATCTGGGATTTCCCAAGCCTATATTATCATGTATGTTTCTTGCCTATGTTCCAGGGAGTACACATCAAGGGACTTCAGTCATTCTCAGCCTCTCCTAACTTAGTGACTTAGTACAGTCATTCTCAGCCTCTCCTAATTTAGCGACTTAGTATACTCATTTACCGACCACTCGGACTTAAGACCAGCTCTCCAACCAGCATGCGAAACTAAATAATGTATATAAAAACTGATTTCCTCTATTCTCTTTTATTAACAGTATACAGTAAACTACTGTATAAACATTTTAAAAAATTCCAGAAATGTTATGAATGGTGCAAAGGTGACATTAAAAAAATATCTAAAGATGGTTGATACAAACCCTCACTACCAGTATAATATGCTCCTTGCTTAACCAATTTGCTTACCAACCTACTCTTAGGAGCAGAACCCCATTGATAAGTGAGGAGAGGCTGTACTTAGACATGCTGTGAAAGTTCTCTGCAGTTTCACCTGCCTTGAAAGGGGCCATTAGTGTATGTCAATATTCCAGCCTATAGAGAACAAGCATTTTGAAGAGAATCATCATGGGCTTGGCATCCCAGGTTTTGAAGGTTCTCATTATCCATCCTATCATTTTCCTAGCAGATGTGGTCGATACATTGTTGTGATCTTTGAAAGTGAGATCCTGTCAATTATGACTCCCAGGTCCTTCACACTAGTTTTTCGCTCTGTTGTATGGTTGGAATTTGTTTTATACTCCAATACAGTTTTCATTTCCGTGAGTTTTCCATAGCGGAGTATAATTGAAATTTGTCTTCATTGAATTTCATGTTGTTTTCTGTGGCCCACTTAAAGATTTGGTTGATGTCTGATTGGAGACTTGCAGTATCTTTGACGGATGACACTGTCATGCAGATTCGGGTATCATCCGCGAAGGAAGACATGGTGCTGTGGCTTACATCTGTCTATCAGATATGATGAACAGGATGGGAGCGAGTACTGTATCTTGTGGAACAGAGCTTTTCACTGTAGCCGCTTTTGACTCTACTGTTTACTATTACTCTTTGTTCTATTTGTTAGTAAGTTATAGATCCATCTGCCAACTTTTCCTGTTGTTCCTTTATTGTGCATTTTGTTCTATTACACCATGATCACACTTATCAAAGGCTTTCACAAAGTTTGTGAATACTACATATTTTTTTTTTTTTTTTTTTTTTTGTCCTCCAGAGCATCCAAGACTGTTGTAGTGGTCCAGTAGTTGGGATAGGTAGAAGTAACCTGCTCTAAACCCTGGATTGTGCAACTGATGGGTACCTATGTGGGTGGTGATCTTGATTCTTAGACCACTTTCAAAGTTTTTTATAATGTGGGATGTTAGTGCTATCAGTCTGTAATTCTTTGCAAGTGCTTTACTGCCACCTGTATGGAATGGGGCTGTGTTGTTTTTAGTGACTGTGGGATGACCCCTGTGAGAATAAAAATTCGAAGTGGAAAGCAAAAGAATGTAAAAGGGGCATGGGGACGTTACTAATGAACAGAGGAAATGTTATTTTAGTGCCAGGAATGTCTTTCTTGTTTATTCTGGACCCTATTCAGAAATTGGCATCTTTTGAAATTTGTGTGAAATTGGCAAAATTGCTAAATTCTGACCACTGTATTGGATAGTTGAAATCGGTAAATGGGTGGTTTCTTGTACTCATTCGATAGAAAAAATGGAGTTCTAGCGAAATAGTTATGATTTTTGTCGACAAGTATACTGGAATTTGCCAAAAATAGGGCTCAAAGTGGGCAAAATCGCCGATGTGTAAACATCGTTGAGACCACTAACTTCGCGAGAGAATAATTCCGTAAGTTTTCCATCAAATTTCATACTTTTGGTGTCTTTATGATTGGGAAAAGATTCTCTATCTTTTCATTTTTTTTTTTTTTTTTTAAATTTGGCCGACCCTGAGAGCAAGTCTCTGAGAGGGCCTGTCAACCCTGAGAGTTAATAACTCGAGTGTGTGAATTTTCATTGGAGCCACCTCTTGGGTTATCTCTGCTACATTACTTGCTACATTCCCCCATTTTAGGTCTCTTTAAGTTGAAATTACCCAGCAGCAAGATGTTTGGGGCAGGAATTGGAAGATTTTCCAGACAATGGCCAGTTTTCAAAAGCTGTTCCTGGAATTGTTGGGAAGTTACATCAGGAGGCTTGTATACAACCACAAGGACAAGGTTTTGGTTTTCAGTCTTTACTGGCAAAACTTCATCTACATCATTTGAGGCGTTAAGTAGTTCTGAGCGACTCTGTGACGTACAGGCCAACCTCCCTTGTTGCCTTTTTAGTCTCTTATCTGAATAGGTTATAACCTAGGATCCATATTTCATTGTCAAAGTGATCCTTTATGTGGGTCTCTGTGAAAGCCACAAACATTGCATTCGACTCTGTGAGCAGTCTATTGATGAAAGGTATTTTGTTTGTTGATGGCTTTAGACTGTGTATACAGGTCTCCCTCAACATTTACGAGGGGTAGATCAAGAACCTCGTGAATGTTGAAAAATTGCGAATGTTTGGTGCCGCAATATAGTATTGTAGGGAAATATAATACTGCTTCCTTAACCTGTTGAACCATGAACAGTCATAAAACACATGAAAACATTGTAAAATACATACATATATTGTATATACATACATGCTCCTCCCACTCACATATTTGTCCAATCTCTTTTTAAAGCTACCCAAAGTCCTAGTGAAGCTAAAACCTTGTGTAGTTTCAAATTTAGGTTGGATAAATAAACGAGTGAGACGGGTTGGATTTGAGTGGGACTTGCACATGAGTAAATAAAATTATCAAAGCTTATTGCTTGGGTAGTGTTTATTTTGTTAGTGGGTTGGGTTTGTGAAGGACCTGCCAAGTATAGGCCAGCAGGCCTACAGCAGTGTTCCTTCTTATGTTGAACATTAAAATGGTATAAAATACCGACAGGTTGTTAGGTAAGACACATATGCAACAGTTAGGTATCTTTATTATGAAACGTTTCGCCTACACAGTAGGCTTCTTCAGTCAAGTACAGAAAAGTTGATAGAAGCAGAAGATACTTGAAGACGATGTAATCAGTCCATCACCCTTAAAGTTTTGAGGTGGTCAGTCCCTCAGTCTGGAGAAGAGCATTGTTCCATAGTATGAAAATCATATTGTTTCATACTATGGAACAATGCTCTTCTCCAGACTGAGGGACTGACCACCTCAAAACTTTAAGGGTGATGGACTGATTACATCGTCTTCAAGTATCTTCTGCTTCTATCAACTTTTCTGTACTTGACTGAAGAAGCCTACTGTGTAGGCGAAACGTTTCATAATAAAGATACCTAACTGTTGCATATGTGTCTTACCTAACAATCCTTCTTATGTTGATGAGTGGAACAGTCTGATTCTTGATTCTTTTCAAGTCTGATAGACTGACCACATCGACTCAAGGCTGAGGGACTGATTACCTCAAACTACTACTATTCTTCCCTGTTCTCCTTTGTTATGGACTGATGAAGCCACTGTGTGGCGTAACATTTCCATAATAAAGATACCAAGTGTTGCACATGTGTCTAATTTATCAACTTGTCGGTTCTCTGAACCATTCATCTACATTCCTGCCTAATATGGTTATAAGAACATAAGAAAGGAGGAACACTGCAGTAGGCCTGTTGGCCCATACTAGGCAGGCCCTTCACAATCCATCACTAACAGAATATTTGCTCAACTCAATTTTCAATGCTACCCAAGCAATAAGCTTTGATAATTCTGTTTACTCATGTGCAAGTCCCACTCAAATCCAACCCCTCACACATGTATTTAACCAACCTAAATTTGAAACTACCCATGGTTTTAGCTTCGATAGGACCTTGAGTAAAGGGATGGGGACTGTAGTGGCAGGCTTCCTTGTGAAGAACATTGTGATGAGCAACTGAGACCATTTCTTCATATCTACAGAGTTTTGTAGAGAATTATGCCTCAGTGTCATTCATCACCTTCAAAGTCATCAACATAAATATGATTTGGCAACTGGGAATTCGCGAATGTTCGAAGCCCGCAAAAGTGGAAAACGCGAATGGTGAGGGAGACCTGTATTTGCAAAGATAAATATAAAATATATGGTATGTTTGATCTAAATTAGTATGTGTGTAGTTCTGTTATGATGATTAGAATTGTGTGATTCACATGGATTTAGTGCTTTCTGGTTATTATTTTTTGTGATAAGTGAAAGTAACAAAATGGGAAAACTTTGGTGAAACACATCAAAATTTACTCCGGAATTTAGAAATAATGGCTATGAAGGACTTCAGTAGTAGACAGAAGAGGAAAAAGAGAGGATAACCATTTGTTTCATAAGTATGTAAAGTAAAAAGGCAATGCAAGATAAATGTAATAATTACCAGATCAAAGACTAAACATTGAAAGTAGCTCCACACGTGTAACCCTAAATAGGTTATTAAACCTTTCTTCTAAGGTAAACTATTTTTGCAGGGCAGCAAAAGGGAAGGCACCAAGCGAGGCAGGAAGCCGGGACGAAAATCCAAGTCTGATATGAAGGCTAAACTAGGTATGTTCCATTACTTAAACTTTAAAATAAAAAAAGAAATCTTCTAGTATTCACTTATGTTTTAAATGCAAAAATTTGTGTGCATTCAAATTACAGTAAACCTTTGGATTTGACTTCTAAAGACAGGAGTTCAGCAATATGCCGGTTTGGTTATCGGCGGGTTTTTTGGTACCCGGTTATCGGCCATTTTGGACGTGTCCATCCACTGGCTGGGGCAGCTTGCGCTTCAGTTTGGCTTTGTCTCTTGGTGGCTGAGGAAGCTTCTGCTCATACATTCAAACATTTCGCTTGTTTACCATTCTTTTTAGTGGTTTTTCTTGCAGTGCAACTGTGCAATATGTAAAGATGGCTCCAGAGAAAGTTCCTAGTAAAGTTCCTGTGGTAAAGAAAGTGAGAAACACCATGGAATTTAAGTGTGAAGTGATAGAAAAGTTTGAGAGTAGTATGAAGGTGGTGGAACTTGCCAGGATGTACAGCAAGAATAAATCAACAATTACATCCATCCTGGCAAAGATGCTAATTTTGTGAAAGGAGTAAGTTTTCTAACTAAACAAAGGCCACCAATAATGGAAGAGATGGAAAAGTTATTATTATTGTGGATTAAGGAAAAAGAATTAGTGGGAGACAGTATTATGGAATCGATTATTTGTGAGAAGGCAAAGCAGTTGCATGAGGATCTTGCAAAGAAAATGCCTGGAACAAGTGCTGCAGTTTGAGAATTTAGGGCCAGCAAAGGATGGTTTGCTAGATTTAAGAAGTGTAGTGGCATACACAGTGTTGTAAGGCATGGTGAGGCTGAAAGTTCTGACAAATGTACAGCTGAAAAGTATGTTCGCAAATTCCAGGACTACGTAAAGGCTGAAGGATTCGAACCCCAACAAGTGTTCAATTGTGATGAAACAGGCCTGTTTTGGAAGAAAATGCCAAACAGGACCTGTGGCTCTGTTGTGGCACTGGGGAAGTCCCTGGGGTTGGAGGTGAGTGGCGAGGATGTGGAAGAGTTGGTGGAGGACCACAGGGAAGAGCTAACCACAGAAGAGCTGCAAGAGCTTCATCTCGAATAGCAACAGACTGCAGCTGAGGAACTTGCTTCAGAGGAGGAAGAAGAGGGAGTGGAGGAGGTGCTTTCTTCAAAGATTAAAGAGGTGTATGCAATGTGGACTAGAGTGCAAGCTTTTGTAGAGAAACACCACCCTGACAAAGGTGAAACAAGCCATATCTGCAACATGTTTAGTGACAAAACCCTGTCCCACTTTAGGGAAATCTTAGAGATGCCAGAAACAGAGCACTCTGGACAGTTATTTTGTGAGATAGGGGTTCAGTGACTCTTAACCCGTAAACGGCCCAAACGTATATATACGTTTTTTCCGCTAGTACCCCAAACGTATATATACGTTTTATTTGTCATATACAGTGGACCCCCAGTTAACGATATTTTTTCACTCCAGAAGTATGTTCAGGTGCCAGTACTGACCGAATTTGTTCCCATAAGGAATATTGTGAAGTAGATTAGTCCATTTCAGACCCCCAAACATACACGTACAAACGCACATACATAAATACACTTACATAATTGGTCGCATTCGGAGGTGATCGTTATGCGGGGGTCCACTGTATTCAACATTACCACGATAAGCCTGAGTCACCTAGACATGAGAGAATGGGTGTGCGCCATATTAAAATAATTGGGGATGCCTGGGTACCATATACTCTTTTCCTATTAAAAACAGATTTTTTTTTTTTTCCTCAAAAAATTTGGGGCACTACGGGAGAGAACGTATATATACGTTTGGATCGTTTATGGGTTAAGCTGGTCCTAGTGGCAATAAAAGACAGAAGAGAAGTACATAACCCCAGAGAAGGCTTTGCTACCTAAAGTCTTCATGGGGGGGGGGATTCCCTTTCCAAACACTAATTCCTCCCTCTTTCCTATCTTCCAGAAGCCAGCATTAGCCTTCAATAAAGGTATGTAGTACTTACATAATTGTTAAAAAAATTATTGTTTGAATATTTTTTTGTTTGGAACGGATTAATTGTATTTCCATTAATTCTCGTGGGAAATATTAATTCGGTTATCGACCGACCTTCTGGAGCTGATTATGGCCGATAACCGGGGATCCACTGTGCTATACATTGAAGCAAATTGTAGGCACCTTTCATACGTATTCTTTTACTTTTCAGAACGTAGCCGGCAGAGTGCAAGAGAATGCCGTGCTCGTAAGAAATTACGTTATCAGTATTTGGAGGAGCTGGTAGCTAACAGAGAGAAGGCTGTATTTGCATTACATCGTGAATTAGACCAGGTTAGTGTAATGTTCTTTAATTGCGAGTTTAATTTCATTAAATTTTGGGCGTAAATTCAATAATGAACTTTGCACTGTGGTAGTTGGAGAGAGAAAAAAAAATCTTTTGGAAAAGCTCCTAGCATAAAACTTGGTTATATAGTATATGTTGTATGATGAAAGTTTCAAAGTGCCACTCCTTAAAATGTAGGGAACACTCAATTTAATGGCTGATTTGTCTTGACGCATGGTTAGTAAATGTGTATAATTTCAAGGAAAGTTCCTCGACACCAGTGTGGGAGCTCTCGATACCCTCGATGCCATTCAATCTCCTTTGATCGATGTTAAAGGTCTACTACTCTCTTGGGTGCTTTATGAGCCATGGGTTTAGCACTTCCCCATGATAACAGCAGTAATGTAAATAAAGGCAAAGATAAAACTGTAATATACACTAGACCCTGGTTTTTGTAATTACATAATCTGTTCCAGAAGGTTGGCCAAAAACTGAAGTAATATTTCCCATGAGAAATAATGTAAATCCAATTAATCCATTTCAGACACCCAAAAATATTAACAAAATGTATATTTTATACAGAATAACTATAGTTTCACATACAGAAAACAGAAATAAATGACTAATTTTAATGATAAATGAACATTATAAACCTTTATTGAAGACTTGGTGGTGAGTAGTATTTATTTGTAATCCCAGGTGGACTATATCCCCGGTGTATACCTACTGGCTACATACACTATGGCCTACAGCCATATTATTACCATCGACATACCATGTTCACAGAGTTTAATAGTTTCTAACAGCTAACTTTAGATGCCATCATAAACAAAGGGGAGAAGTAATGAATAATTCATGCCGAGAATTGTAAACAAAAGCCTTGTGCATTAAGGGCGGTTACTGGGCCAGTGCAGATTCATACAAGTTTTCTTTGAAGCTGGACCAGAGAAAACATAATGTTTAACCCTCCACTGATCCCTTGATAGCATATAAACATTGTGTGTTTGTGGTATGTAACATGTTTTTTATATATTTTTGAAGAAAATATCATAGATGGATTAATGAAAATGCCTAAATTAATGTAAAATAAAACATTTAATGTGCCCAACCTCTTCAAGGGGGGCTCCTTGGTGTGGTGAAGAGGCTCTTGGTCTGAGGAATTAGACCTATCGGTCTTCTTCCTCAGACCGAACCTAATTACCCCCCAATCTCCCCTCCCCTATCCCATCCTCCCCTTTTTCCTTTCCTCCTCCTCCTCCCCACCCCTCCCTTTTGCCCTTCCTCTTTTTGTCCTTTGGGATTTCTCCCACAGGCGCGCTAGTTCTTAAGTAGGGGAAAGGATACCGGGGTCCATCCCATTCCGTTGAGGTTCTTAGCGGTGGCGTAGTTTGCCGTGGAATCTGGATCGCCTGGGGATGTCCCGATTCCTCTCCGGTATCCCAGAGTAGCTTTGGGTGTCTTTCGGGCGACGAGTGTATCTCTGGAAGCCACCTTTCGGATTCCGGGGGTGGTGGCCGAAGGAAGTATGCTTTGTGGCGGATATCCGGCTGCCCTCTCTTTTGTCCACCGAGGTAGCTCGGCAGATGTGAGGTTGCTATCCCGGATTGTTAGTTTACTAGCATGATGGGTAGGGTATGGCACGGGTTCCATGCTGCATCTGCGCTACTTGCGGTGCTGAGGTCCTCTTGGGCGCGGAGGGAGATTTCTGGCCCTTTCATTCCTCCTAGGAACTATCCCTCCCCGGTCCCCCCTTTTTTTATTCTTTTTTTTTATTTTTATTTTCTTTCTTTTTTTTTCTTAAAAACAAAAAGAAAGAAGTAACCTAACCATGGCAGCCCTAGTCCATGAACCTGGTACCTCCGGGCCCCTTCTGACCCCGCCTCGTCTTTGGACCACTCTTCAGACATTCCTCATGCCTCTGTACCTATTGGCGGTGCTGTTTCCTCACCCGCTTCAGGTACTGAGGCCTCGACTGACTCCTTCGATTTATCGGACCTTCGCTCTCCTCTGACTATGCTTCCGGCCTCTCCCTCTACGGTGCGGCAATTTTCAAATCGCCGACCCGTTCCACGTTGGACCAACTCTGGTCCCACGCCTAAATGCCAACGACAATTACCTGCTGATGATACTTCTCCACCTTCTCGTTCTTCTCAGAAACGATCGACACGTCCTTCACTACCTTTCCACGCTCAGTTTCAGACTGAACAATGGACTAAATTCTTCACTTTACGACCAACTTCCTCTACTGCCTATCTTTCTGACCATAGTATTGGCAAGGCACTCCTACGCCATGTTGGTAAAGATATTTCTTTTCATGCTCTTAAGAGCGTACGGTACGCGCATCATTACCGTACAGAATGCTACCCAGGCTCATGAGCTCTCTCGTCTTTCCCATATCGATACTGTTCCTGTCACTCTTGAAAAACATCATTCCCTCAATTCTTGTAGTGGTACCGTCATTCTGCCCCATACCATAGTTCAACAAAATTTCCAGACATGTGGCACTGACATTCTTGAACAGCTGGAACTCCAAGATCTCCCAATCTCAAGGTAGACACTTACGTTCTTCCTGCCCGTGGGCGGAGACGATACCCTAGCAATGTGGCTCGTTTAACTTTTGACAGCCGAGAACTCCCATCCTCAGTTTATATAGCAGGACATGGGTTACAAGTTCGAAAGGTGATCCCTACACCACAACAGTGTAGAAATTGCTGGCGATTTGGCCATCCAGCGAAATATTGCAGATCTATCGCCGAATGCCCAGTCTGTGGTGCCGATGACCATTCTAATACGTCTTGCAATCGATCTCCCTCTTGCCTTAACTGTCATGAGGCTCACCCTTCGTACTCTCGCCGCTGTCAAGTCTATTTAAACGAGCGGGAAATCCGTTACCTCAAAGAGACAGAAGGTCTCCCTTATAAGAACATAAGAACATAAGAACGAAGGAACACTGCAGAAGGCCTACTGGCCCATGCAAGGCAGGTCCAAGTCTCCTACCGGCTTAAGCCAATGCACCCAACCTAGTCAGGTCAGGTCACATTGACTTAAGGGAGGAACACGGCAACTGACCTGGTAGCACAAGCTATCAGGTCTAACTCACACCCACCCACATCTACTCATGTATTTATCCAACCTATTTTTAAAGCTACACAACGTTCTGGCCTCTATAACGGTATTTGGGAGTTTGTTCCACTCATCCACAACTCTATTACCAAACCAGTACTTTCCTATATCCTTCCTGAATCTGAATTTTTCCAACTTAAAACCATTGCTGCGAGTCCTGTCTAGGCTAGATATTTTCAGCACACTATTTAAAATCCCCTTTATTTATTCCTGTCCTTCCATTTATACACCTCAATCGTATCCCCCCTAATTCTACGTCTTTCTAGAGAGTGCAGTTTCAGGGCCCTTAGTCTATCCTCATAGGGAAGGTTTCTGATACATGGGAATCAACTTTGTCATCCTCCTTTGTACATTTTCCAGAGAATTTTAAAATCCATTCTGTAATACGGTGACCAAAACTGTGCAGCATAATCTAAATGAGGCCTAACCAAGGATGTATAGAGTTGAAGAACAACCTGAGGACTCCTATTATTTATGCTTCTTGATATGAAGCCAAGGATTCTATTAGCTTTATTGCGAACACTTATGCACTGTTGTCTTGGTTTCAGATTACTGCTAACCAGAACTCCTAAATCTTTTTCGCAATCCGTAATATTAAGATCTACATTATTTAGTTTATATGGGGCATGGTTATTGTCCTGTCCAACATTTAGAACTTTGCATTTGTCTATATTAAACTGCATCTGCCACTTCTCCGACCACTGCATCAGTCTATTCAAATCTTCCTGGAGTGCTCGAATGTCCTCGTCAGAATGAATTCGACGGCCTATTTTGGTGTCATCGGCAAACTTGCCGATGTCGCTCTTTATGCCCTCATCTATGTCGTTTATGTAGATTGAACAGCAGGGGGCCCAACACTGACCCCTGTGGAACACCGCTCGTGACGCTTCCCCACTCTGATTTCTCCCCATTTATGCAAACTCTCTGCTGCCTATTTGTCAACCATGCCTCTATCCAGGAAAAAATTTCTCCTCCTATTCCATGTGCTTTAATTTTCCTCAATAGTCTCTGATGTGGGACCGCTGTCAAAGCCTTACTGAAGTCCATATACACAATATCATATTCATTACCATGATCTACCTCCTCAAATACCTTAGTGAAAAAAGTTAATAAATTCGTAAGGCAGGAATGCCCCTTTGTAAAACCATGCGAGATTCGTTGATTATTTATGCTTTTCAAGTTGCTAAACGAACTGCCTCGGCAATTATTGATTCCATAAATTTTCCCACTATGGAGGTTAGGCTTATTGTCTATAGTTCGAAGCTAAGGACCTGTCACCTGTTTTGAAAATAGGTAAACACATTTGCCATTTTCCACTTATCTGGCACCATGCCAGTTTGTAGTGATATGTTGAAAAGATTAGCCAAAGGTGTGCTAAGCTCCTCTTTACATTCCTTTAGAACCCTTGCATACAGTTCATCAGGGCCTGGGGATTTGTTAGGTTTTAATTTATCTATTTGCCTAAGGACCATGTCACTTGTGACCCTAATAGTGCACAGTTTATTATCGTCCTGTTCTACATAATTTATCATTACTGGAATATAGCTGGTATCCTCCTGTGTAAAAACTGAGAGGAAGTATGTGTTAAAAATTCTACACATTTCCTTATCACTGTCAGTGAGCTGACCCGAGGAACTTTTGAGTGGGCCTATCTTGTCCCTGATCTTACTTCTGTATACCTGAAAGAATCCTTTTGGGTTAGTCTTCGATTCTCTTGCAACTTTAACCTCATAATCTCTTTTTGCTTTTCTAATTCCCTTTTTTATTTCTCTCTTTAACTGAATATATCGATTTCTCAATTGCCCCTCTCCTCTTTTGATTTGCCTATATATGCCTCTCTTTTGACCAGTCAGATATTTTAATCTATTGTTCATCCATTTAGGAT